TGTCAAGACAAGCCCAGATATAGCGATGTAGAATCCAGTTTTTGACTCATGAATTTAAGCCCACGGAATGGAGGATGTCCTTGATCTCTAAGATCCACAGTTTACTGTGAAAAATGGGTCTGCTTCGAGGCTCAGGAAACACATTTTGCAACTTTTAAAGGTGCAGTACCATTATTAGACTAAATAAAGCCACTGGAGTACAAATTTACTGCACTGTTTGTGTTTCCCCAATTGCCCCAGCTGACAAATGAGCAATAATAGATCTCGTTTACATATAACAGGGACACCCCCAGTGTGACCAACATGGTGCTGCTGGGGATAGAAGTTTAGAAGTTGCATGAACTGTACCAAGAGACACCTTCCTGATTCTGCTAAAAATCCCCCAGGCTTCCAAGATATAATTGTAGGATCCTGAGTCTCTGGGACAAGGAAGAAAAATATACTTGGTGACTTGATCAAGGCACCAAATTTGAAGACTATAGAAAAAAATAGCTAGGCACCCTGAGGAGGAGGTCTCTCTGGCAGGCCACAAAAGCCTTGGTTGGGGACAGAGGGCCTAGGGCCCTGACTTCTTCCATTCATTCATCATTACTAGAATCTTTCTAGAAGAAACAAGCTATCTTTGACCTAGTACTGCTGAATGCAAATGCAACACTGGATTTCCCCTAGCAGCATGCCAGGAAAGGGAGAGCCTGGGCTACTGTCCAAGGTGGACAAGTGGCTCTAGATGTAGCACCTTAGGACCCAGCCCACAAGGGAGAAATGTTAAGCTTAGGAAAACAATGGCTGCATATATAAGTAAGCACTAGGATCTGTTACTCTGGTGCCCAAGGATGTACAGTCTCTGCTGCATGTGCAGAATGACTAAGACACCACAGCCACCCAGCCACCAAGCATGTGCAGTGCTGTTCTCAACAGGGACAGTGTGTGGGAGCAGCTAAAGCTGCAAGGCATCCTGAGCCTCAGGCTCCCTTTGTGCTTGGCATTGGAAACAGAATGGGGTTGAACTATGACTCTGTGATTCTTAGATGAAAGCAGAGGAGCAAGGTCAAGGGAGGAAAAGATGCTAGGCCACCTGGTCATAAAGAATAACAGAGACAACTCAGTGATTAATTAGAAAAATAAAAGAAATGGGAAGAAATTTGTGGCATTCTGAGTCAGCACTCAAGTGCTGAGCTTATGCTGGATATCACAGTTTGGGAGAAAAAAAGGCAAGATAGAAGTTTTTGCATATAAAACCATTTACATGAGGAATAAAGGGATATGCTTCCTTTTGGCCAAACTCATTACTGACATCCTTTGAGGCAGTAAGGAAAACAACCCGAGAAAAGCTGGTAGGGGAGGTTCTGTGCTCCAGGAGAGTACTGTGACGTTTTTAAACTTCATCACAGCTTTCTAATAACACCTCTGTGTGTGCTTTGCTGGAGACAAGCTTGGCGGCCAAAACAGTCAAGCTCTCGCCTTCCCCCAGCACCCCAAGAGGAAAAAAACCTGTCGGCTTCCCTAAAAGGGAAAAGGAAAACAAAGTCAAAAGGAAAAAGCTCAAGTTGTTGTTCATCTGTTTGAAGGCGCAAGCAGAAGAAGAGAGTCGGGTTTTGTGCAGAAGCCTGATGGGACCCTGGGGAAAGAAACCTGAAGGCCGTAAGTAGGAAAATTTTCCTTTCAGGGAAGTTTTGATGAGTTTGAGCAGCTCTTTGATAGGCACTGGTGTTTAAATGAAAATGGAGCATTTGAAAGTGTGAGCTTTGCAAGAGTGTGGTGTTTAGGATGCAATGTTTTTCCTTTAACATCTCTTCTTGTTGGGGAGAGGGTTAGGGTGAGAGGGATCCTAACAGGAAATCTATAGCCAGATGCTGCCCTAGGTAGGTGTACAACTGCCTCCTTGAGTTGAATCAAGAAGGGTTGGAATAAAAGTCCTAAAATTAAAGACAAGATTAACAAAATGTGAGGAAAGAAAACACCCCTCACCAATCCAGGAGCTCAAATTACATTTACCACATTGGACAGGAAGAAGGTAACCATGGGTAATAAGTCCAAGCTCTGGAAAGAAATTATGGGCTAAATAACTTAACAATGGGTAACACCAGGTAATCAGGGGAAGTCCCTGATTCAGCTTTCCAGGAAAGACTCAAGACAAGGTATAAAACCCATCAATCATACTGAAACAAATTTCCCTTGGTAGGGCCCCTGGGTAGCCTAACTCTAGATTCTCAAATAGCCTTTGAGTTCTGCCTAGAGCCAGAAATGTGACTGTATTACAAACACTTCCTCAAGGTACAACCTAGTCCTGGGAGCCTTCACCCACTGCACAAAGGCTATCATCCATTCCATCCCAACCTTGGTTTGATTAAGAAACTCAGTGATTAGGCAAGGGCTGTACTATGCCCATTGTACACTTTTGCCCCATCAGCAGACTCTATTCCCTGCTACTGTGTGTGCGTGTGTGTGTTAGAGGGTGTCTCTAACACTTTCTGGAAACTGTTCTACCAAGTCAGTATGAGCACCCAGCAGTCAAACCTTCCTGTAATCTGTAGGTTCCTCCTGCCACCTCCCCCTGATCTCTCCAAGTCCCTGAACTCCCAACTATTCTTACTGGGTAAGGAGGAAAGCAGTACGATACAAGGAATTCACAGTAACCCTCCATGGGTTTTCTTTTTAGAAGAGCAGGCCAAGGAATGCAAATTAACTGCTCAGGATGGGCTTTTGACTCATGCAGGAGGGTACCAGGCCTTCTCTGGACTTCATGCATAAGACACACTTGAGAGAGGAGAAGGCTCCGCATCTCTCCTACTTTCTGGTCATTGCTCAATGGGCAGAGTTGAGCCACTGCTCCAGTCTGCCCTCCATAGCCTTCCTTCTCTAACAACGTTCAAAAGCCAGGCCTCCAGCCTTGAATTCAGCAGAGTACAGGATAGCATCTTAGGGAGATGCTGTTCAGCTTTAAGCCAAGTAAGATCCTAGGAACACAGTCCTGCTCACAGAGTGGGAGAGCTCTTCTACTCAAAGGGTAACAGGCTCCAGGAATTTGGGTTTGGAATTTGAGATCTTCAGCATCCTTGCTCTTTCCCATCTCAGCTCTCACAGCTTCTCCCTGTTCTACTCCTTGGCTGCATTCACCTTTGGTAGGGGGATCTTAGACACTCTGTCTGACTGGCTTCTCAGGTCACTGGCTCCTTGGGGTCCTGTCCTATCATAAGGATACTTTCAGAACACCCATCTCTGCTCTTAACTCATAGTCAGGAGGGCCCCAGTGGACCAATGCCTTGGAAATAAAGAAGAGTTCTTGGAGTTACCCTTCAGGAACACCTGACTCCTCCCAGCATGAAAACTGTGATGCTTTTCACCTGAAAAACATCATGCTTATACATACAGCAACTTACGGAAACAGGAGGAGTGACATTACTCTCAGAAAATCTTCAGCATGAGAAGGTTATCCAGATAATGAAAACTTCCACTTTTTTTGGTCACCATGAGAGTTTTTCTAAAGAATGGAACCCCATTCTACCAGAACAAAGCAAATTGGTCAGAAACTGAGCTAACCAGAATCCTCAATGTATTGGGCATTTTTTTTTTCTGCTCTCTGCTCTTTAGAAATGGGGAATCTACAAGAAAGCAAGCACAACATGCACTGAGTAACACTTCTCCTACTCGTGTACCTGCCTAACACTTACTGAGTACATACGATGCTGTCAGAGATGGCGATGAAGACTCCTAGAACCTACCCTGAGAACAAGGTTTTGTCCAATCCAATGCCCTGCCTCAATCTCCAGTCCAGGACTGAGGCTGCTCTTCTGAATGAGTCACCAGTATAGCTTCAGCCTGCAAAGACTCAATCTCTGCTTGTCAAAATCTACTGGCTTCCATCAGCGACTGAATTCAACCCTAAGTTCTGGAAGGACATACATCAAGCTGTCAACAGTGGTCGCCTGAGGCCTGGGGTGAGCAGGAGCAGGGCACAGTGAAGGAGTACTCTCTCTTCTCACTCTACCCTACTCTATATTCCATTTTTATTTTCCACACAGAGAAACTGTTCGTGAACTTCTTCAAACATTAAAAATAAATCAATAAATGGCCAATACAGAAAAGGAAGTGCCAAGTTTTCAACAGTGTTTGGGCTCAGCAAGGTTTCTGATGAAGGCTGAGGTCTGGAAAAAAGCTAAGCTGGAAGATGTGGTTCTCCATAGTCACACAATGGCCCAGAACAAAGCTGGGTGTTTGCAAAGTTGTCCCCTAAGACTGGACAGAGCTAACTCCCACTGACAGGTCACTTCTAGTTTTCTGTCCCTGAATGCTAAGAGCCTCCAGATCTCTGGCCATAACTCCTCTTCCGAATTGCTTGACCCTTGGCAGGCCTCTCAGGACTTGAGGTGTGGGCTCATGCCTGCAAGCTTACCTCACCCAGGTGACACTGTCACCTGAGAGGTGCTCAGGACATGCAGTGGGATTTTGCCAATTTCAGCAGCTGTCAAAATATTCTCCAGGTAAAGATGGGACCATTCCCAGAAATAGAGCCTGAACAGTTATGAAAAGTCAGATTTTAGGGGCCTGGGGTGGTGGTTCCAGCTACATGGGAGGCAGAGGTGGAGAACTGCACTTTGACGCCAGCCCAGGCCAAAAAAAAAGGTATCAAGAAGATCCTATCTCAAAGAAATAAATCAGGCTTGGTGGTGCAGGGCTGTGGTACCAGCTATGTGGGAGGCAGAGATAGAACAGTGGTACGAGGCCAGAAAATAACTAAAAAGACCAAAAAGAGGATAGGGTGTGGCTCAAGTAGTAGAACACTTGCTAGCAAGTACAAGGCTCTGAGTTCAAATCAAAGTACTGTCAAAAAAAAGTTATGTTTTAGAAGCAGATGTCAGATTCTCTCTAATCCAATCAGAGGTCCTGGCCTCACTCGCTGGCCTGGGAGCAGCACAGAAAACTGGAGCCTGGGAGCTGGAGTGGCTGCCAAGGCTCCTCCTGAACCTCATTAATCACCACCATGCTGCCAGCACACTTACCTGCAGATGTAATTCGTTTTGCAGGAGTCCTGCAAATTCAAGCAGTTGGGCTTCTCCCGCTCTTCATAGGAGCACACAGGCACAATGGTCTGTCGCCGCCGCTCGGTGCAGGCGATGTCCCGGCAGGAACAGAAGAGCATCCCGTAGCTGTGCTTGGCTGGGACCTTATCGAAGAACTGCCGGAGGGCCTTGTGGCACTTGCGGCGGTTGCAGACTTCGTTGGACATGCTGGTGGTGCATGGGGTGATGTATGCAGATCTGTACTTCTTGCAGGTGTCATCCAGGTTGCAGGCCTTGGCTGCGTCTAGGCAGTTGTTCCCTTTGGGAATGTGCTCCACTGCAAAGCAGAGAAGACAGGCATGAACACAGTGCTGGCTTTGGGCTACTCACACCTAACTCTGTGTTCACTGAGCCCTTGCCGTTCACTGGGCCATGCTGGCAGCTCTAGAACTGAAGGAATTTTGAAGCTAATAATGTAATGACTTGTGACAAGGAAGGTGTTAGGGGTGTAAACGCTAGGAATCCACAGCAACACAGAAGCCCCTGGGACTGCCTTAGGTGTGTAAGTAGGAGTTATGGAGCGAGGCCAGAAGAATTCAGGCACCTGCCCAGCTACCAGCAAACAAGGCACCAGGAGCATGTCTCCAGCTCTTGCTCAGTAAACTGAAATTAGGATAAAAAAAAAAAAGCAACAAATTATATACTTGTTCATGATACACTATAAAAAATGATATGCTGAATGCAAGTATAACTGCCATGCAATCCTCCAGGAATATAATTATGTAATAAATGCATATAGTACATGCTAATTACTATATGATTACAGAGTAATTACATGGTTATTTGAGCCCAGAAGACAAAATATTATGCCAGCCTCTCTAAACAGGAAGAAGCAACTATGACGAAGCTGTATTTAAGTTTCAGCTCATAGGCCATTGGAAGGAAACCAGAATAAATCACATAAAAATTTGCAAACCTCAATTACCACTTAACTCAGTACACACAAAATGTCAGCTCTATGACTATTGAAGTTTCCGATTAGGAAACTTCAGCTAGGATTTTGGACAACATTTCAATGGGCTTATAAACCATAGGCCTTAGGAACCTCACACAGCATATGCTGCTTCTGTGCCCTCTGTGCCCATGCTGCCAGGAAAATCAGTGCCATTTGCTGCAGGACTGCCCCTGTGTGGTCTGGATGAGACCGTGGAGGTGCTGGGGTCCACTGGGTGGCTGGATGTTCTGGCCAGGGCAACATTCAATGGGCAAAGTTACCAGTGAATACATAAGAGGAATTAAGCTCAGGAATCACACAGAGGTATTTCTGCAGGCAGAAGGAAATGATAAAAGCCCTTCCAGAGCCAACAGATAAGACGGCCTGTGGAAGATGTGCCAGGGACCTTGTGGAGAGGGCAGGAAGTCTGCAGAGAGGCCCCACACAACTGTGGAATTAGACACCCTAGCAAGTTATTGCTCAGGCCCAGCTCCTCCATGGATTCTATGACTCTTTTTCATTCTTTTTATGTATCCCCAGTGGACAAAGGCAGTTGAGAAATCACAACAGGTTAGAGAACTGACAAGAGAGGGAGAGTCCAGGTAGGCTGGGTGTAAATGGCACATGGAATATTATTCTGCCTTAAAAAAGAAAGAAATCCCGAGATCCATGACAACATGGATGAACCATGAAGACAGTAGGCTGAGTGTAATAAGCCAGTCACAGAAAGACATGAGAGGAAACTCATACGAACAATCTGAAATACTCAAACTCATAGAGGCAGAATGCTGGGCTGGGGGGATGGAGAGTTACTATTGAAAGAGAATAAAGTCTCACTTCCAAGTTGACTCATTTCTGGAGCTCTGCTGTCCAACTTCCTGCCTATAGTTAGCAACACTGTATTACAGACTTAAAAGTCTGATAGGAGGACAGGTCACATGTTAAATATTCTAATGAAATTAAAAAAAAAAGGGCAAACCCCAACAATTTCAGGGAAAGAAAATCTATCCCTCATCCACTGAACATGGATAACTTACTTTAAGAACCTGCTCCCTGGCAATCTGAAAGTACAACACTATACTCTGGCAGCATGAGATACACTTTATTGAGCCCCAGTTCATATTTCTGTTTATGACATCTGAATCCAGCACACTCGGTGTGGAAGCCAGTAACAAGATCTCTAGCCTAGTGAGCTGTGCAGGCCAGCAGCTGCTCATGCAGCTCTGCAGGTTTAACAGGTGTAACTGGCGCTGTCTGTCCATCAAGAGTTTCCCAAGCCAGCTTCTCTGGTCCACACTCAGGCTCCCCAGGACTCCATGAGGGAAAGAGCCACCATGTGCCCTCACATGGTCACCAGCGCCGCCGGGCCTTGATGGCACTTCTAGCCTTCTGCTCTTTTGAGACTTCTACTGCTGTGCCATTGGGTCCAGGGACAGTGACTTACGTTCTTGAAGGTCTACAGTTCTCTAGATTTCTAAATTATGCATTTTTGATGATAGTCAAAATAAACTAATAGACCATATTCCAGATCATCTGGATTAGGCCTTTAAGGCTAGATAGCTAGGTATTGGTCAGTACAAGATTTTATTATCTGCACTTACATCTGAATTACTGTCCAATGAATGGCACTTTGTAATGTCTAGCTAGAAAGAAAATAACAAAGGTGTCAAGGTGGGTTAACATGCAAGGGATGTAGCCAGTGATATATGAGCAAATAGTTCATGGAAGTTCACATGGAGAAAAATGGCCAAAGGATGAAGTCATTGCATGGCACCCGGTAACACAGGCTGGCTAAACTCAAATGAATCGTGCTGACACCTAGTGCTCCATTCAGAGGGTAAGCACTGATTTAGTTTCAGCAAAACAATGTCATCTCTTATACTAAATTCATGCTTTTATCTTTGATTCCATTGATTTCAAAGTTTTGTTTGTTAATTGTTTAATTTGTATGTGTTGCTTTTATAGTTAAGAAAAAATGAAGAATAAGAGCTTTTTATGTTTACAAATTTAAAATAAAATTATAATAAAATAATAAAGGTCAACACATGACATATAGGAAATTTCTTTTTCTCTAAAAGTAGTCCATGCAATAATACAGAAGTTTATAAATTTGGCCTAGTGTGTACCTTGTTGTTATAATGTGGTTGCCTTTTTAATGTTGTTAAAATTATATAAGCTATTAATTAAGCTTTTCTTCTCAATGTTATCAAAAAAAGAAAAGCAGTATTTTAAAAGAGAAGCTTTCTACAAAGTAGAAACAGTAAACCATTTTATGTCTAAACTTTGAACTAATTGTTCAAAGTTAACTTCATTTAGTGGGGCATATGGGTTAGCTTCTGTTGATTCTGTTTGCATACATATATAACCCTCACCAGATACCATCTTCTTACCATTATTTCAGAGCCTGTCCCAAATTCCAGAACCTGGCACAATCAGAAGGGCAGAACCAATTCACTCATTTCCAGCTCACAGGTCAATGTGACTTTCTTTTTGCTTTGGACTCTCACTGACACAAAATGTTCTTATGATCCTTCTCAACATGATAAATAAATCCAGCATTACTCAAACACAAAACAAAACAAAACAAAAGAAGAAAATAACAGGCTAATGAATGCTGCTTACAAACACAGATAGAAAAATATTTTTCAAATTTTAGTAAATTGTATTTAACAATAGGTTAAGAGGACAATGCCTTATGAGCAATTAGGGCTTATCTCAAGAATCCAAGATTGGTTTAAAAATTTTAAATCAATGTAATTCACCACCTTAGCAGAACATAAGAGAAAAGCCATATGACCATTTCAGTAAAAGTAGTCAACAAATTTCAACACTCATCATAAAAAGTGCTCAGCAAATAGAATAGAAAAAAATTTCCTCAAGCAGCTGTGAAAGATCTACAGCTAAAAAAGTCACATCTCATTGTGTAATACTGACTGTCTTCCTCTAACATCAGGAAAAAAGGATGCCCATTATAATCATTTAGAGTCAATAGTGTACTGAAGGTCCTAGCCTTTGCAATAAAGCAGTAGAAAGACATAAAATATATAAAGATTAGAATGGAAGACATCTCTACTTGCAGATGACTTGGGATACACTAAAGCACCCACAAAAAAACCTACTAGAATAAATACAGGATTTTTTTATCCAAAGATATAAAGTTAATATAAAGACTCAATTTCACTTTCTTTGAGTTTACAATTTTATTTTTGATCGGACAAAGTAATTACATATATTTATGGGGTACAATGTGATGTTCTAATATATATTTGATATTGCGCAATGATTAAACCAAGCTAATTAACATACTCATCACTTTTATGTTAGCTGAAAAAAATTAAGAAATATAATTTCATTCACAATAATAACAAATAATAAAAAAATCACTAAAAATGAATTTTACAAAACGCATGTAAGAACTCTACACTGAAAACTAAAAAGCATTGATGGTAAAAATTAAAAAGACCTAATAAATGGAAAAATATACAATGTTCATGAATAAGAAGACTCAATATTTTTCTTATGCCAATTATCTCCAAGTCCTAATGTTTTGGGATTCGCAAGCAGATTCTAAACTTTATATGGAAATAAAAAGGACCCACCATAGTCAAAGCAATTTGAATAACAGAGGAAGAACTTACACTAACTGGACTTCAAGATTTTCAATAAATCCAGAGTAATCAAGAGTGTGGGATTACATAGGCATAAACAAATTGGAACAGAAGACAGAACTCATAACTGTACCCATGCCAAATATGAATAGTCATTCATTTTTGACAATGACACTGAAGAAATTCAATGGGAGAAAAAAGTCTTTTCAGCAAATGGTGCTAGAATAACGTGCTAGCAATGGAAAACAAAGGCAAAACCTGTACCTCTACTTCACACCTTGCACAAAAAATGATACAAGATGACTCCAGACTTAAAAAGAAAGCTTTTAGAAGAAGCAAAAGATAATCTTGAAAGTAGGCAAACATTTCTTAGACAGTACAACAGAATGTAATAAAAGTGTGCAGGGCCCTAGGCTCGTGACCTAGCACTGGAAAAAAAAAAGATGTAAAAGGAAGAAATGGTAAGTAAGAAAGTAAGAGTTCATCACAACACTTCTGCACAGGAAAAAACACTGGTAAGAATATGTATAGAGAAGTCACTGACATGAGTAAATGTTCACAAAGCATTAATCAAAGGACTGGCATCTAAAATGAATTAAGAATGCTTAAAACTCAACAATAAAAAAGAAAACACCTCCATTATAAAACAGGCCAAGTATTTAAACATATAAATGCTATTAAGCACATGAGAACTATTCAGCATCATTAGTTATGGGGGAAATGCAAAATAAAGTC